AGTAAAAAACAAAAAGAGACACAGAGAGACAAAGAGCTAGGAGAGAAGCTCTCAGAGGAGGGGCAGGGGAGAGAGAGACAGAAATAAAGTAATTTATAAATGAATTGTGTTGCCTGGACCAAGGTGAAATTCTAATTCCGCCTGCACATGATTTTCTCCTGTTGACTCCCCATCCCATCACCCTCTCCTCCCAGGTCCCTAACAACTTTGGAAAGGCAGACCCTAAGAGAAGAGGACAGATGACTGTGATCAGATTTAGGCTAGAGGGTGTCTCAAATGCGGCTCTGGCAACCCACATGTGCTCTGCAATGGACGTGACAATTCACCATGGCCTCAGATCTTGTCTTCTAGTAGGAAGAATGATTTTGAATACCCAACTAAGATGGAGGAATGGTTGCTGGCATCCACCCAACAGCACATACTGAGCCATCCTGAGTCACGTATGGGAATTTCCAGTCCCTTCCTCAAGGAGACTGTAATAGTACAAATCCAGACGTTCAACACCTACTCATTGGGTGCTGTCTGCACAATTGCATAGTTCAAGGATCTGGGGACACGGGGTCCCTTTGCTCATGAGCTGACACTCTAGACAGGAAGTCCAATAATGAAGTGGAGCTATTAATGTTTTATATTAGAAAACTCAGAAGTGCTAAGACAAGACAGTGATGCCGTAAGTTTGGGCATCATTTTTACTCTGTTTATCCACCAGTGGGGTTGACCCTTGGGCAATTCCATCATGTGGCCCTTGTTTCTGACTTTTGTTTGAAAGAACAGCATTGAGAACAAATGAGGTGTGTGCCCACAAGTTGAGAGATGAGGTGGGGGAGGTCTCAGCACCAAATGCTTTCTCTCCCAGGAAGTGGAAATCTAAAGACAAAGGCCAGGTGTGGTGGCTCACGCCTATAATCCCAGCACTTTGGGAGGCCAATTGCCTGAAGTCAGGAGTTCGAGACCAGCCTGGCCAACATAGTGAAACCTCATCTTGACTAAAAATACAACAATTAGCCAGGTGTGGTGGCTGGTGCCTGCAGTCCCAGCTACTGAGGCAGCTGAGGCAGGAGAATCACTCGAACCCGGGAGACGGAGGTTGCAGTGAGCCAAGATCACACTACTGCACTCCAGCCTGGGAGACAAGAATGAAAGAATGAGACGCCATCTCAAAAAAAGAAAAAAAAGGGGGCGGGGGGAGAAAATCTAAAGACAGAGTAACTCAGATCCTTAGAATAAAAGCACCCGGAGATGTTGTCCCAATGACCCCAAAACATTTCACATCAGCAACCATTCTCTCCCTGGAATCACCAGATGCAATGTCCACATCCTAACACATTTCCAGCATTAACCAGACTCCACCCGGAGCACTCCAATCACTTCTCTCTTCTTTCTAGTTGCCTAAGTCCCGTCCTGCTGTGAGAGAAAATGATTTGTTCTTTGTCTTTGCATTCTAGGAACACGTCCTTCTCACCAGCACTGGGCTTCTTGGGGGTTGCAGTGGGTTTCTTGTCTTCTTTCTCTAAAGAGACAAGACATTTTAGTCAGTCAAAGTTGCGGCTGGGAAAACAAGTGTCAACTCTTTTGTGGTTAAGGCTGTTTCATTTTCTTGGAAACAGTTGTAGAATGTTTTTAGCATTGTTTTTCCTCTCCAGCCCAAGTGAGCTGAGCTTCACAGGATAACTCTTGAGCCCAGAAGACAAGCACAGAGGCTGCTACCAGCCATGGCTTCCACAGAGACTAGGGGCCCCTCCTCCCCTTTTGTTTTGAGACCAAGTCTTGCTCTGTCACCCAGGCTGTAGTGCAATGGTGTGGTCTCCACTCACCGAAACCTCTGCCTCCTGGGTTCAAGCAATTCTCCCGCCTCAGCCTCCCGAGTAGCTGGGTTTACAGGCACATGCCATCACTTCCGGCTAATTTTTTGTATTTTTACTAGAGATGGGGTTTCACCATTTTGGCCAGGCTGGTCTCAAACTCCTGACCTCAGGTGATCCACCCACCTCAGCCTCCCAAAGTGCTGGGATGACAGGTGTGAGCCATCGCGCGCCCAGCCCTTCTCCACTTCTTGACATTAAATGGGACTGTGACCAAGATGTAAGCCAGGAAGGCAGGAGAATGGCAAAGCTAGGAGAAAAACTGCCCTTTCAGAGCCCAAGATCTATCATGAGAAGGAGACACTGGATTGGTGGTTGAAAGGCTGTTCACATTTCTCATATGAAACACACTTTTGGTTCCGTCAGGCCTCTGCCTAGGCTGCCCCCTCTGGGAATGGAAGTCAATCAGGCAAATCAGGTGGAGGTTTTAAGACTAAGGGCACCTCCCACTGCAGTGAACACCTGTTCCCAAGGGCCAAGAAGGGGTAGGTGATCAGGAAGGAGATGATCCCCATTAGCACTGTTTCTCTCAAACCATCGGCATTGCACCACAGGACATAAAATTAAAAGCTGGCCACGTGCAGTGGCTCGCGTCTGCAATCCTCTCACACCTCAGCACTTTGGGAGGCTGAGGCGGGAGGACTGCTTGAGCTCACATGGTCAAGGCTGCAGTGAGCCAAGATCCCACCACGGCACTCCAACCTGAGCAACGTAGTGAGACCCCGTGTTGCTCACTGTACCAGGTGAGGTGGCACATGCCTGTAGTCCCAGCTACTCAGGAGGCTGAGGTGGGAGAACTGCTTGAGCCCAGACGGTCAAGGCTGCAGTGAGCCAAGATCCCACCACGGCACTCCAACCTGAGCAACACAGTGAGACAGTGTCTCAAAAAAAAAAAAAGTAAAACATAAAAAAGTGAAGAGGGTGGCCAGGCTCAGTGGCTCATGCCTGTAATCCCAGCACTTTGGTAGGCAAAGGTGGGCAGACCACGAGGTCAGGAGTTCGAGACCAGCCTGACCAACGTGGTGAAACCCCATCTCTACTGAAAATACAAAAACTAGCCAGGCATGGTGGTGCATGCCTGTAATCCCAGCTACTTGGGAGGTGGAGGCAGGAGAATCACTTGAACCTGGGAGGTGGAGGTTGCAGTGAGCCAAGATCGCGCCACTGCGCTCTAGCCTGGGCGACAGAGAGAGACTCCATCTCAAAAAAAAAAAAAAAAAAAAAAGTGAAGAGGGCTTTCCTGGGTTGAAGGGCATTCCTCCAAAATCCACATCCACCCCAAACCTCAATAGGTGCTCTTATTTGGAAACAGGGTCTTTGCCGTTGTAATTCGTTAAGATGAGGTTAGAACAGATTAGGATAGATCCTAATGACTGGTGCCCTTATAAGAAGGAAATTTGGATACATGGAGACACAGGGAAGAGACCAGTGTAGACAAAGGCAGAGCCTAGAGTGATGCGGCCACAAGCACAGGGACGCCTGGAGCCCTCAAAAACTGGGAGAGGCAGGAAGGCTCCTCCCCTAGAGCCACCAAAAAGAACTGGATATAACTGCAGTGGATTGAGCAGTGGTTCCCCCAAAAGACATATCTACATCCTAAAGCCTAGAACCTGGTATTGAGACTTTATTTGGAAATAGGGTCTTTGCAGATGTGCTTGAGAAGGATCTTGAGAAGAGGTTATCCCGGAGTATGGTGGCCCTAAACCCAATCACAAGTGTCCTTGTAAAAGAAAGAAAAGGAGATAGAGACACAGAGGAGGAGGCCCCATGGAGAAGGAGGCAGAGACTGGAGTGATGCGGCCATAAGCCCAGGGACACCTGGAGTCCCCAGGAGCTGGGAAAGGCAGGAAGGACCCTCCCCTAGAGCTCCCTAGAGGGAGAATGGGTCTGTCTACACCTTGATCTCAGACTTCCGTCGTCCAGGTCTGGAAGATGGTAAATCCCTGTGGTTTAAGTCCCCAGTTGGTGGTACCTTTTTATGGCAGCCCCAGAAAACAAATACAAAGGGATGACAAGATCCAGAAGCAGACAGAGTGATAAGACGGATACCTTCAATTCCTTTTCCCATGCCCTTCACCGAGGGCTGTGGGTGAGGAGCGGGAGACAGGAAGAGCTGCAGAAAAAGGAAGGAGTGGCCCCATGGAGAGAGCGGGTGCCGATTGCGAGAGGGAGGACGCCAGGACTGGACGCCCCTCTCTCCAAGGGGACCTCCATTTGCTCACCTCCTCTAGCCCCTTCCCCAAGCACCTGGCAAGTTTTCGCTCGGCCTTTGACCATCACAGGAGTGTGAATTATTCCACCAGGGTGGTTCGTTTATCTTAACGAGGGCATCTTGCTTTTCCTTGTCATCTATGAATCTAGTTTTTATAATAAGGCAGGTGGACACATAGAGGCAGACCTCCTTCACTGCACTTTGTCTTAAGGTGCTTTGCAAATACTATGTGTTTTACAAACAGAAGGTCTGCAGCAACTCTGCGCCAAGCCAGACTCTCGGCATTTTTCCCAACAGCACATGCCCCACTTCCTGTCTCTGTATCTGCATTTTTTAGCAATAAGTTATTTTCAGTTAGAGTATACTGTTTTTAGAAGTAATGCTATTGCATACTTAACAGACTACAGTCGAGAGTAAATATAGCATTTATATGTACTGGGAAGCCAAAAATTGCTATGACTCCCAGTACTGCGGTGTTCTAGAACTGAGCCAGAAATGTCTGGGATATGCCTGTATTTACTATGTTAACATAAAATATTGACAGGATTTTAAAAATTGATGTTGTTACTCACCAGGAAGGGCATCAGATAAATCGAAACCATCATCTAAGAGGGAAAAAAAGAGTCAACTTAGAAACAAGAAAAATAAAAATAAATTTGAAAATTATAGAGATAAAAAATGATAGGTGATTTTCTTGACTTTTGTGACATTTAAAACAGCAACTTAAAAAAATTTACAAGGTGCTGTGATTTCTCTTTTCATTCTAAATATTCACTTTCATGCCTAAAAGAAAGAATATGTTAGCCTAGGTTTTAAAGAAACAATGACCTTCGAGCTTAGTAGAAATTAAAATAGTGGGAAAACGTGATCATTTTGTGTATTATTCTTAAAAGGTAGTTCCTTTGAAACAGAGGAGTAACAATTTTGAATATGTACTGAAAAGAACATGGGGAACAAAATTCTCCCTTTTTTATTGGCAACGGTCCTGTAATTACAAACCAAAATATAGTGGAAACACTAGACAACCCAGAAAGACACATGCATTATGCATTAAAAAAAAAAAATCTCACGGAATCTCACAGAATGAGGAAATTGTCACACTCAATTATTGATAGGCTATCCTGTTTCTACAGTTTTTAATTACAAGAATTTCAATGCTACTTCAACGTGGCCATCTCTGGTGCACTGAAGAAAAGCCAAATTCAGGCAAATTTGGAAAAGTCGACTTGGACTGTTTGGTTCACTGGAGGAAGAGTTAGGATAATCGTCAACATCCAGCGTCCCCACTCGTCGGCACCAAAGGCGTGCAACACCTCTCAACCGTCAGGAAGCACCTGGCAGTGGGTGCTGAGGGGTCCAAGAACAACCCATGGGAGCCCTGTGAACAACAGAAATGTGTCCAGTTCCACAGCAGGTGCAAACGACCAGGCTATGCTCCTGTGTGTGTAAATGAAGAGTGCATGCATATGGACAGGGCTGTGTGTGTGCGTGTGCATGTATATTTGGGCATTTGCAGTGCAAACGTATGTATTTGTGGGTTTTGTGTGCATGCATGGGGTGTGTAGGTGGGTTCTGTGTGTGTATATGTGTATGTCTTGTGTGTGCATATATACACGTGCATGTATGAGTGGGTTTGCATATGTGCATATGTGTGGGCGTGTTTTGTGTAACTATGGAGGTGCATTTTGTGGGTTTGTGCCTGTGTGTGTATGCAGTGTGTCAGTGTTTTCTGTGTGCATATGTGTCAGTACATGTTCGTGTAGGTTTGTGTGTGCATATGCAGGTGTGCGTAGTGTGTAGGTGCTTCTGTGTGCCTATGGATAGTTGCATGTATGTGTGGGTTCTGTGTGCAAATGTGTAGGTGTTATGCATGCATATGTGTAGGTGCATGTATATGTGGGTTTGTGTGTGTATGTGTAGGCGGATGTAGTGTGTATGTGTTTTTCATGTGCATGTGTGCAATTACATGCATGTGTGTGCATGTGTCAATGTGTGTATATGTGTAGGTGTGTTTGTGTGTGCATCTGTGGGTTTGTGCGTGCATGTGTAGGTGTGTGCATTTGTGGGTTTGTGCGTGCATGTGTAGGTGTGTGCATTTGTGGGTTTGTGCGTGCATGTGTAGGTGTGTGCATTTTGTGGGTTTGTGTGTACGTGTGTAGTGTGGTGTGTTTCCATGTGTGCATATGCATAGATGCATGTATGCACGTGCTGTGTGCACACATGTAGTTGTGTGCACGTGTGCGTATGGGTAGGTGTGCACAGTGTGAAGGCGTGTATTGAGTATGTACATATAGGTAGGTGTGTCTATGTCTGCTTGTATGTCTGTGTGTGTGTACCCATGGCTGCCTATGTGTTTCTGTGTGTGTCCACAGTAAGTAGAAAGTAGACTAAATCCTCAGAACAGCTCTGTGGGCCCCATGCCAGCAACCAGAGTGGAGTTGTTTCCACAACCTCAGAGCCCTGAAATGGCTTTTTCTACAACAGGACGTTTGCCAGACATAACAAATGCAATTACAGCTCCTCCGACTAAAAGAGTAAAAAAACAAAAAGGAGCACAGAGACAAAGAGCTAGGAAGACTCTCAGAGGGAGGGGCAGAGAGAGAGAGACAGAAATAAAGTAAGTAAAAAACAAAAAGAGACACAGAGAGACAAAGAGCTAGGAGAGAATAGTGATGTAAAAATGGTCAGGAATTCACTTAAGATCCTGGTCAAGCTGATATTCAGAAAAGTATTCAGGAATGTGGGGCTGTGGTGTTTTTTCGATCTGTTCACGATCATTCCTTCCTTGTTTCTCTCTGAAATTTGGTATTAACTGCTTTTTTCCCTCTTTTAGGGGATGACTTTGACTTAGGAGATGCTGTTGTTGATGGAGGAAATGGTGAGTATTATCCGTTAATCTCTTCTGCTGCTGGCCTGCTTATTATCACCCAATTATGATCATTTCAGAGAGAATTCTCCCATTTAAATTATAAAGGGAGTCAGCTTTCACAGTGGAAACCTAGGGAAGAGGTATGTTGGTTTGTTCTTGCTGTTGTCATTGGGTTTTTCTTTACAACCAGCACATGTGCTTTTATTTTAAAACTGTTACAGCCTTTGGAAGGACATGAGACACGTGTGCCTACCCTGGCCAGGGCTGGCCTCACAAGCATGTGACCTGTGCAGTGGCATGGGACCCCATGGCATGTTGGTTTGACATGGGCACCATACTGGTTTCCTGTTCTGGTGTCGCCATCTTCGAATACTTAACAGAATTTGAAAAATGGGTCCCACCTTTTTATTTTGGCCCCAGAAATTCTGCAGCTGGTGTGGATACCCGCTTTAATTTTTATTGAACATACTTGAAATTCAGAACCGTGGCTCAAAGTTGATGGGAGGAAATTGGCAGGAGACTGTGTGTATGGGTATCCCCACCAGGACAAAGGCCAAGGTCCAATTTCTGTGGAGGGAACCGTCTGTATGTAAACGGATGTTTCATTTTCTTTACTGCAAGGCACTGATAATTGCAACTCTCATCTTTCACAAACAGACGACCCACCACCACCGAACCCACCCAAGCCGAAGCCAAATCCAAACCCCAACCAGGCTGGTTCCTCTGGTAAGAGTCTCTGACCCTGTGGGCTGTCTCCATGTTGTTCAGAATTCAGTGATATTTATGTCAGCTGAGAGGAGGTGATTTCAGATGAGTGTGTGCTTACTGTTGACTGCCTGTGCAGTGTAATGCCCGTGTTCATGGAGTGGAAAATGTACCTTTCAAAAATAGATATTCAGCTTAGATTTTATTTTTAGTTTGCTTTTTTTTTTTTTTCTTTTTTGAGACAGAGTCTTGCTCTGTCACCCAGGCTGGAGTGCAGTGGTGCCATCTTGGCTCACTGCAACCTCCACCTACTGGGTTCAACTGATTCTCCTGCATCAGCCTCCTGAGTAGCTGGAATTACAGGCACACACTGCCATGCCCAGCTAATTTTTGTATGTTTAGTAGAGTCAGGGTTTTGCTGTGTTGGCCAGGCTGGTCTTGAACTCCTGACCTCAAGTGATCCGCTCACCTTGGCCTCCCGAAAGTGCTGGGATTACAGATATGAGCCACTGTGCCTGGCCTAGTTTGCTACTTTTACTTCCAAGTTCCATCTTATGGAACTTCTAAAAAATTGAATACAAGAATTTAAATATAGACTTAATAAAGAGAAAAGTATTGGCATACACATTCCTTATGGAGAAGCTAGTGTGTTTTAAATCTTTTTGCCCTTAAATATTTAAGAAAAAAAAATATTTTCTGACATATTACAGCATTTTCAGTGTAATTTGAATAGCACCAGTTTTTTTTTTTGTTTGTTTGTTTTTTTGAGACGGAGTCTTGCTCTGTCGCCCGGGCTGGAGTGCAGTGGCCGGATCTCAGCTCACTGCAAGCTCCGCCTCCCGGGTTTACGCCATTCTCCTGCCTCAGCCTCCCGAGTAGCTGGGACTACAGGC